TAAAGATTATCACTCTCTTTTACTGCATGATATAATTTTTGATTGTGTATTTAGTCATTGGTCGACAGTTCTTGGGTTTACACAGTTTTTATTTTCACTTTTCAATATACTTGCAAAAGAATTTTATACCATAATTCAAAACGAAGAATCAGCTACTAATTTTTTAATTTTTAAAAATTTTTTAGTAAATGTAGAAAATATATTGTGCGATAAATGTATCTATATATAATCTTTAAATTGTAATCGTAATCCGTGCCGGTCTAGATAATATTATTATTTTCAAAATTATATAAACTGCGATGTTTGTCGGAATAAAATAAATCTAAAAATACGGTTTCCAAATATTCCTATAATTCGACTTATCTGTATATAAAATTAATACTTGTACCTATCACTTGTGTATAGTGTGTATATGGTGTAATAAAAATAATTACTTATATTACTTACAATTGGAGTGGTAAAAACGGTAGAGTGCAATCAAACATAAAACGGTTGAGCGCATACTGCAGTTGTAATGTGGCCGGTAGAGCGCATACAACAAGGTAGCCAATATGAATATTAAAAATGTTATGAATTTATAACTACAAAATAATTTCCTAATTTCCTAACTCATTAATACTTATACACTTTTATCAAATTTTATGCTCAACTTTTTGTTTTTAAATTTATATTATCGATAACAATGATAACTAATGAAGACCTTATGTTAAATTTTTAAGGTTTTATAAAAAGCAAAAAAAAATTAATTATCTATACACTAAAACTTTTTTATTTAGTCCAAATCTAACATGTATACTTTAGTATACAACCCATCTGATCTAAATGTATTTTCAAAGTGGCTCAAAAGGTCCTTAATTTATTTTGTTTTCCGCAGTTATTAAAAAAAAGTGCTGAGAATTATTTGCTTTTTACTTCTCAAAATATAAATTAGACCAATTTGCTACTATAAACCATTTTTAATTGAAAATTAAACATTTTTTTTTTTTTTACTGTAAAAAAGGTCATTATTGCTGATAACAAAAAAAAAAAAAAAAAAATGTCCAATAATTCCAATATATTTCTAAATAAGTATTTTATTTTAGATACATGATGGGATTAATAACAACAAAAAGGAACTTTGAACTTTGTTCAAAGATAACTGCATCATGTTTTTGTAGACGCCGATTACCTGTTATAATGGTTCGGTCTAAAATGGTCCAAACACTGAAATCTGCTATCACCTATATAGAACAAGGGCATGTTCGAGTTGGTCCACAATTAATAAAAGATCCAGCATTTTTAGTATCAAGGTATGTCAAATATGTTTTATCCCATTTTTTTGCTTTAGTTTCATTTTATTGTATTTTTTGAGATAACCTAATTGTATGACTTAATGGTTAATATATGTAAATATTTCAAAATCTGATTAATCTTTAATAATTTTTAATTACTCTAAAGTATAAAAAATACCCTAGAAGATTAAGTTATTAAGTTGTATATTATACAGGTAATAATTATCTAATATTCTTAAGAAATTAACCTATTTTCCGTCTTTCAATAATTATTATTCTCTAAGCTTACCTTTTTCTCCATGCATAATTCATTAAATAACTTATTCTTACTTCTAATTTTCGAACTGAACACCTCACTTTTTTATATTATTCGTGTATTTACCTCAGAAAATCACTTTTTTATTCTATTAGAAAGTATAAAAATAAAACATGTTATGTTTGGAATAATATTATGATGTGATATTATTACATGCCCAAATGTATGAGTATACGTAATGGCTCAGTCTTATCTTCAGTCTCGTCTGATATCATTAAAAATAGTACTGCATCAGAAGTAATGCTCGATTTCGTTGGTTTTGTAAATTACTGCTATATCAGTAGTAATCCATTGCATCAGATTTGAAAAAAATTTAAATTACTGCTTTAGCAGTAACTGGACTGTGAACTTGTTAAAATAATTATAATTAATGAAATAGTTTAAATTTTGGATCGATATATTCATATACATTATGATATATCAACAATAACAAATATCAATTAGTGATCACAGTATTAAACAAATATTTATAGTGAATAAAATAATATAATGTTTTATTTGAAGTTGATTTATTTTTCAATTCTTTGCTTTTTATATTAAGAAAATTACATCTTTAGTTAAATTATTTTTCTCTTTTTTTTGTATTCATATTTTCAATTCATGTAGTTTTACTTTGTACTCTTAACCTTGAGGCATTTAAATATAAATAAATAAATTAAGATAACTATTTCCAATGGACAAAATATTAATTTCAAGTGACCGATATCAAAACCATACCAATATATGGCGTCTAAAGTTATGTATTATAGAAATTTTTTGGTTTTTAAGTTTACTATTGTTGTAATATCTATGAAATTAATATTGTTATATGACTTCAAAATGTATTTTCCAAGTCTGATCCATTTTAATAATAACAATTAAATAAATAATGTATATATTTTATTTAAAAACATTATAATTTTATAAATGAAACTTAAATTTTATAACTTAACATAATTCATAATACTTTATTAAATTTTAAGCTAAATCTTAAATTAAATAAAAATGTTTAACATTGAACAATATAATATTTTCAGACCTTTAGAAGATTTTGTTACGTGGGTGGATAATTCAGCTATCAAGAAACGTGTTCTTGAGTATAATGACCTAAGAGATGATTTTGAGATAATGTAAAATAATAATTTATTTAATTATAACTGATAAGTTTCTTTTTTAAATTTTTATACATGCCTATTTTATTAGTTATTATAAATAAACTATGTTTACATTTAACCATTTTGTTTTGAACTGCCATTCAACATATTATATATCCTTGTCTGTTGAGTTTATATGTGAAATTTGAACTAGTAATTTATTAGATTACTTAAAAATAGAAAAATAAATATTAGATAAGATTTAGGTGAACATTAGTGTATAGATTTTTTAAAATAAATTTAAAGGTTTTTGTTATTGTACATACAGATTTAATTAATTCTAGATATTTAAAGTTATAATTTACATATTGATCAATAACTATTTTTTCAAGATTTAATTATTGAAAATTAAATTTTATTATCTTAAGTATATTAATCATTGTTCTTTTAAAAGTGATATTTTTTTTAATCATATTTTTGTTATATTCTATTTTATATTAGTTGCTTAAAAATACTATAATGAAAATATATTTAATAAATATAAAATAGAGTATAACAACTATTGGTTTTATGTATTATTATTTATTTCTGTTCATTATTTTGATTATTTAAAAAAATAATTTCATACTATAAATTATACATATTCAATTTCAATTCAAAATCCATACCATATCATATACCTAGATTTATTTTGAAACTACATTCCTTCTCATATAGTCTATGCTAATGCCTCTATAAATGTTAGTGTTAAGTGGACTAATTAACAATATGATAATTACATAAGCATTATGATACTTTCCTAATTTTGATAGGCAATACATACAAAGTTAAACACTTACTTTGATTATATTATAAAATTTCCCTATCTAACAATTTGAACCACTTTATTTTTTTTACCTTATTTAATACCTATTTATAATAATTAGTTTTAGTTATTTATGTTTATATTAATTACATATTTTTCTAATGACACTTTTAAATAATTATTTTATACAATAATTATTACTGCAAGAGCTTTTATCAAATCCTACATCAAGCATGTCAAACATACAGCTAAATTGTATGTGGCTCATAGTTATAATATTAATGAACAAATTAAAAAAATAATAATAAAACAAAATTGTTAATTTTGTATTATAACTATCTTAAAGAATGGTATATTTGGTATACATTATTCATCATTATACTGTCTTATCTCCTGATTAACTGTTATTGAATAAGTATTATTGATAGTTATGTATATATATATATTAGATTAATAACGTAGGTATGCAACACGCATGCCTCTTTTATTGTCAACATCTAATCTAATTGTTCAATAACTACCGTGTGTTTGAGTTAAATTTTTTTTATGTATTTATTTTGTTTATAATGTTCCAAAAACTTAATATTTGAAAATGTCTTTGTCAAAATTAAGTAGTTGTAATAAATAAAAAATTACTGATGAACATCGTCAATTTCAAAAAAATTGGAATTGTAGTATTTTTGCAATGAAATAAATGATAAAATAATTTACTAATTTACAATAAAAAAAATTATTAATATTGCCAAATTAATGAAAAATAATTTAATTGCACCTATTGTGTTCATAAATAATAAAATTTAAAAAATTGTATGAAATGTTTTTTTTTTTTTTGGTAAATATTTATGTACAGCCTGTTTATGTGAATAGTGAACTATTCAATATATTTGGCTCACTTGATACTTTGAGTTTAACATGCCTGTACTATATTATTTACAATTAAACTACACAGAAGAACAAACTCTCATGTAACTATTAAAAATAATTAAAATTATACAAAATCTTAAATTACAAGTATTATTATTTATTACAATATCTTAAAAGTTAAACTAATTTTCCGTTCATTAAATTTCTAAGTACTTAAATTATTTAGATAAGCTATATTAATTTTGTAGATAAAATAACCTTTACATAGCCAAAGTTGACAAGATAATATTGACTTTGATTTAGATATATGTGTTTGATATAAAAATAAAAGTTAATAATATTTTTATACTGTTTATCAATTAATAATTACTATACTTTTATGCTATTATGTTATAATAATACATAAATACCACCAGTAAATATGATAATATGTTATATGTATTAAATTTATAGGAAACATTAAATTTAATTAAAGTTGGTAATTTAATCAAAAAAGTCAAAATATGTTTATTAAGCAATGTTACAATGCCCATTAACTATGTCCAAAATATACTCTAACCCACTAATGTGTCATCCTGTCAGAGAAAAATAGCGTTTTAATGAGTTCCCAAAAAAATCAAGCAAGATATACAACATAGTTTGTTATATAAATATTTATATCTGATAATTGTTTATAAGTACTTGAGTTTCCAGATGGTTTTGTAAAAATCTGTTAGAGTTGCATGCAAATGAATACATCCTTTGCAATCATATATTGCTTCACTGACTAAATTTATGTTCATCATATTTTTGAGCAACATACTGTTTATGAATTATTTTTAATTATTAATTTATAGGTACAACAATTTTAACAATTTTAGATAGGATATTTTCACAATATTATGTAATATATTGTGTATTAAACCATTTTAATTTTTTCCAATGACAAAATAATAATTTTCTCATAGACCATAATATAATTAATGTATATTCATATATTCTTGTGTTACTACTTTAAATTCAATAATATATATTATATATATTTAAATAAAACTATTTTATTTTTAAAAGATTGTGATTTAAAATTATAACCTTTGGTTACACTACTACAACTAAGAGTTACATATTATAATTTTAAAATATATACATTTATTTACTAAAATTTAAATAAATAAACACGTTTCCATTTAACTATTTGGTTTTCACTGCTACTTAACATATTTTGTTTAAACATTCTTGTATTGAGTTCATGTGTGAAATTCAAATTTATAATTTATTTGAGTGTTTAAAAATTAGTAAATAATTTTTTTGTTAAATATGGTTTAGCTTAACATTGGGAAATTTTTTTTTTCATTTCAAGATATTTATAAATTACCATAATTTATATATTGATAAATATTAAATAACTATTTTCCTAAGCCTTATTATATTTATTGAAAATTAAATTTTATCACGTTTACCAATTAGTGTAAAGATTGGTAATTTTATTATGCTTATCTCTATACTTCTACATAGGTAGTATTGATAATGTTTTTAGTATACAATGTATACATACATTTTTATTTTATTATATGTTAATTACATAATTAAAAATATCTAACAAATATAAGATAGAGTATAAAAACTATTTATTTATTAATTATTTATTATTATTTATTTAATATTAATTATTTCAAATAATAATTACACTCCAATAAATGGATATTTAATTTATATTCTTAATATAAATGCCCATATTCATTTTAAAATCAATAAGATATTAGTACCTATAGAAGCGTATACTGAGTGGTGCAAAGGCATGTTTTTTCACCACCAGAAAATTATTAAAATTGTATACATACAATATTATTTTTAATTTTATAACTATATTTATTTATATATATTTATAGACAGGTATAAAATTGTAATTTTTGTACATGTATTAGATCTTTTCAATTAAATTATTATCTCTATTTATATTCTAACATTGTGTAACCACCATAAATAATTAGGTTATTACCTATGACAACAACAGAATTTTTTAGTTACCAAATATATAATTTAAAATATATTTATTATTTAAAGAAATATATAGTTTATTAGGAAGAATTTTACTTAGGAAGTTGGATTATTGGTATATTGGAAATTATAAGTTGGGAATATGCCTTTGCATCACTAGTAATTGAACTTAATTTATGCCACTAAGTACCTTATAACATTATTCTTTTTCCTACACAAATAACTTATATCTAAATTTTTAATTACTTGAGTTTCCAGATGGTTTTATAAAGATCTTTAACAGTAGTTGAATGAATATCAACACATCTTTTACAATCATGTCTTGTTTCACTGGCTAAATTTATTTTTAACATATTCTTGAGCAACATACTGTTTATGAATAATTATTAATTTATAGGTACAAAACTTGGGTAATTTTAGATAGTTGTGTTCACAATACTATGTAGTATTTTGTGAGTAAATTATTTTAGTTTTTTTGTAATACAACACAAATCAGTCATATGTAAGATTAATGTATGTTCATAGTTCATATAATCTTTTGCTACTACTTTTAAACTAATCTATATTATAAAATAATAAAGCTAAAGAGTTTGTATTTTGTTTGTACGTGCTACTATATGAAACTATCTGTTTGATTTTAAAAAAAAAATGTTTGTGTTTAATAACAATTCTTGAGATATGTAATAGTCAGGAGCTAAGCAAAAGTAAATAAGTCTAAAAGACTGTTAAATGAAAACAAAATAATAGCACTGATGAATGATACAATGCGGTGGGTTAAAGATCGATAATGTTTAAAATGTCAATTAATAATAAAATAAGCTTTAAAAAGTTGGTGACATTTTAGAGAAAATAAGACTAAAAATATTGTCTATGAAGAAGTACTCTAAATTATTTATAAATAATCCAATTTCTTTTAAATTAAATGGCAAATATGATCGTGGGACATAGCTATTACATATATATTAGAAAGGATATTGGCAATATTATTATTATAATTCTTACATCCTTTCAGCAAGTATTTAATAATAAATTGAACAAAATTTGAATCATGTAAGAGGTGTTATTTTTTTTGGGTAACTAAATATCCTGGGACAGTCATATATGAAAATAAACCTCTTCATTTTTAAAGGTATTCATGGATTATTATATAAGATTGTAACCTACTTAGTGTTCCACATTATCCTAAACACAGACAAAAGATTTCCATTGGATGACTTTTGTTCTGTTGGAAACTGATTCATACTTTGGTTATATTTAACTATTAGAGATGGAAAATAATGTCTTGAGGTTTTAATTTATCTATCTGAAACCAATTCAAATGAGAAATAAATAAAAATATATCATTTAAATTACATGTACTCACAATTTTTTTAATGTTTTATGTGGCCTTTATTTGTTTAATTATTTTTTTAATGTAGTTCTTTTTCTTTAAAGAACTACCTTTAAGCAATGATTTAAATATTTAGTTGTTAACTACCTATTTAATAGTTACTTTTAACTCATCATAGAGGAGGGTGAACTGGATAGTTGACGAATGGTCATTGCTCATTGGCCAAAATTCAGGAATTAGTCATAACTCACCGTTCAGGTGATATTAATATTTAATTTTCTGATTGGCTTACTAAAACATGGTAGTAAATGTCTAACTGTATCTATCAAAACGTAACCATGGTATAGAATATACATAAAAAAATTACTATTTTTGTATAACTATGAATTTGTTTAAAACTATTTACGTATTAATTATTAATTAGAAATGAAATATTTATTTAATTAAATATTAAATTATTTGGTTTCAATAATACATTTGTTGTGAGTATATTAAATATATAATTAATTTAACAGAAAAAAAATTTACAATATTTTCAAGAAATGAGATCTATCATCTATAGCAACATAATTGTTAAATAAAAAAAATATAAATTGAACCGAATGAATCAATTTACAAATGTTTTCAATGACCATAATTATTTGTCACTGTGGTGTGCTAGTATTTTGAGAGATGTAAGATAATCTTACTAAGATTCGACTCACCGCAAACTTGACTTACCATAAAAAGTTGACATGTTGATGACTGGAACCGTGCATTTTTCGATATATGAAAGGAAAATAAGACAGTATTTTTTTTTTATTTTTTTTTCAAGTTTAAACAGCTCATTTTACCAGGAAACCGCGTTCAATTGTCTGACTAGCCGGATTTAATGAACAGTCTAGTTGATACTACATTCCTAAATCCTAAACTAAAAATGTCTTACGGCTGAAAATGCATCAATGTTGAAAAGCTTATTGCAAAACTTTTGATTCATTAAAATTTGGGAAATAGGGACCAGGTACATGAAAAAATAATGGGCATTGACAAAATATTATGAAATAATGCCATTGAAAAAATAATTTATCAATAATTAATACTACGTAAAATTACAGGTGAACTAATTATTATGGTCAAAAAAGTTCAGTGTTTTTCAGTTGCAAACTAAGTAGCAGACGATAGCTGTCTAAATATTAAGTAGACAAAATACCACCAGCATATATTATTATACCAGTAGAATATGTTAAATTTAGAGTGGCTACAACAAAATCGTTGACTAAGCTGCATAATATAGTACTATGCGAAGCTTTGCTGTTGGTTCAAGTTGCAACCGAATAATAAAATTACCATAGTTGTAAATAAATAAAAAGTAAAGGTAGTTTTGGACTAATCGACGATAACAATGGCAGTATATTGAACATCAGAAACTACTTTACACCGTTTTTCATTATTCTTTAAATACACATGAATAACAGTCTAAAAATTTAAAAATTAGTCGCCCATGTAGTCTGTATGAGAAAAAATAGAAAAAATCCTGGATTTTTATTTTAAAATTGCTTTATCTACATAATGATAAAACAAGATTTATAATTCTCAATATTTACATATAATACAATTCTACAGTTTTAATACTTATCCATGTATGATAATTAATGTAACAAATTAGCCAAATTAGCAACATTTATAATTAGTAATAATAACACATACACATTTATAATTATCAAATATGTATATTTAAGAATAATTTCGTAACTTTGTAACTTTTTTTTATATTGACTTTTTATACATACAATTATAGTTCAACAATTTTAGAGAATAACAATTATACAATAAAATTAGATGTTAAAGCTGGACTTCAATATAAAGGCCGTAATTTAATTTATGACTATTTCTGATTTAGAGTTAAAAATAGGAAAAAGGTTTGGGGTGATATAAAGGGCTTGTTTCATGTACAGAGAAAAACAGCTAAAAAGAATGTGGGATAAATTATAAGGACTTTCTGTTAAATGTAAGGTGCAGAATTGAGAGTTATTTAAATCCAGTTTGTATGCATGTGGCAGGTAGAAGTGTGTGACCGTAAGCGATTAAATTATGTAATGGTTATTCTAGATAGGTGGAAGTTTATATTGGGTGGCAAATTCTGCTGGGACATTTGACAATTAGGTGGACCAAATGTGTTTAATGTGATGATGTAGAAATAGAGTGAAATCAGTAAGAAGTTGGGTAAGAGAGATTCATATTGACTGGTGAAGTGAATTTGTTTAATGCAAAGAATTCAATGCTAGAATTATTTGTCTATGCCTGTCCTTTTTCTTATTTGTGGTCCCATTTCGATGATCCAAATTTTTGCAGTAAGGTTTTGGAATGATGTATTCCCGAATTATGTGTTATATTTTACAATTATTGGGTCGATATATACAGCAAGAAATGCATAGCCTATGCACAGAACATTATTTGTTTTAAACTTCTTTTAGTTCGATACCATTAACTATGACGTTTATGAGTATCCGTCTTAGGGACATCATTTTCTTTCCAATATACTCTTTTATCATTTCTTCTAGGTTAAATTCCGAAAGTTCATCTAAAATATTAAGGTAGAACAATTATTTTAAAAAGATGTTGATAAGGTTAAATATTTATTATTTTTTATTACCTCTAAGATCTGATAAATACTTTTTAATGTTTTCCTCTTCTAAAAAAATATAATATTATTATACAATATTGATTACAAATATACAAGCGTGAACAATTTAGATGTAATTTATACGCAATTATTAAAAATTATTATGGTTAAAATATTATAATTCATAAAAAAAATTTAATAAAATTTCATCAATGGACTCTTCGTTGTGACATTTTGTTTTTACAATTTGATTATTCCTTCAGACAAGTTTGAAATTATTTTTTTCATTTCTTCTAAAAAATGGAGACAGATTAATTAGTTTATAAATATTTTTTTGGTTCTATATTTTATATTACCATTATATTTCAATAAAAACTTTTTGTCACTAATCAAATCTAAAAAAATATAATATATAAAAAAATTAATATTAATATATTACATTATCAATTACAATTTACATGTGTGAAAAGTGTAGATGTGTATTATGTATATATATTCAAAATTATATTTGTTTAAATATTATAACAAAGAAAAATAATTTAAAAATATTAACTTGATAATATAATGCCTATTTGACTCTTGGTGAGGGCATTATTTTTACCTTCTTTCAATATCTGAATTTTTTCTTTTAATTGATTATTTATTTATTTTTACTTCATATGAAAATTTAAAATACAGTATAGTAAGTTAATTTGAGTGATTTTTATAAAAAATTTGAAGGTTTTTTATTTTTGTTTTATTATTATGATCTAATAACCCTCGTACAACATTCTCTGTTTCTAAGAAAAAAAATAAATATAAAAATAATATTTATAGTTATGTTACAATGCTGATCACAAATAAACAAAATTTGAAAACTGTAGATGTGTATTATGTGCAAATATTAAAAATTATTATGGTTTAAATATTATATTTTTACTTCATAAAATAATTTAAAAATATTAACCTCCTGATATTTTTCTAAATCAAAGTTTGATGAGGGCATTATTTTCTTTCAATTTTTGAATTTCTTTTGTTAATTGATAGTTTATTTTTTTAAATTTATTTGAAAATTTAAAATCCAATATAGTAGGTTCATTTGAGTAATTTTTATAAAAATGTTTAAGGCTTTTTATTTTTGTTTTACCAATAGAACACAATAACTTTTGTACTGTTATACTCTCTTCTATTTCTGAAAAAAAATAATATTTATGTTACAATGTTAATCACTAATAAAAATTTTTTGAAAATTATAGATGTGTATTATGTGCGAATATTAAAAATTATTATGGTTCAAATATTAATTTTTACTTCATAAAAAAATTTAAAAATAATAACCTAATAATTTTGTCGATTGACACTTTGTGAGGACATTTTTTTTTCTAATAACCTATTCCTTCTTCTAAAAAATTACAATACAAATTCATAAGTTTTAAAATCTAAGCTCCAGTATTGGTTATATATAAATATACAATTGTTTAGACAAGACAAGATAAGATCCTAAAGTCTTATCAAGGGCAGTGGCGACTCTTGGGTTTTTAATGAAGTAGTGCACGTCCAAAAAAATATAACCAATATTATATAAATTATAAATGGTATTAAATAATTGTTTACAAATTTTAGTTATTCATCAATTACCTTTTATTTTGTTTATATTTTATGTCTGGAATAGGCCTACTTTTTTTTTTTTTATTTCCATCTTCTTCTCTAACGATATTGTTGAAAAATTACATTATAGTATTTGATATACTGAATTAATTTTAAAAATTGAAATCAAATACACGAATAATATTATTATACGTTAATGTGGGTGGTCGATAAAAAACATAAATAAGATTGTATTGTTTTGAATTTCCGATGATAAATATTAAATAATGATCGACTAGCATTACCAGCTGATAATCGGAGTAAAATAAACGAATGAAAATAAAAATAAATTATAATGCCGATGCCGACGCGTAACGACGCGGCGACGTCGAAAATAATTTTCGGAAAACAAGTAACAACTTAATTGGTTATGAGTTATGACTTATGTCACTTATGTTTACAGAACTACAGAAACGAATGTGCATTGTAATATTTTGTGAACATCAATTCCATTATAACAAGGGTTGCTTGTTTCGATTTGTTGTAATTTTTACACTGTACAAATGTACGCAGCGATTTTGTGCACAACTGCAATACACCAGTACTCAGTACTGCACCATTATAATATACATCGTCACCGATAACCGTCTAGTCCGCCTGACTGTTTAGGTACATTTTAAATATACAATATGATGCCATGTGTACGATTTACTATATAAAAATACGAAAGTATTTTTGAAAATAACCTAAATTTAATACTAAAATTGGAAAATAAGCTATTTGTAAGTTTTTTATTGCTTATGAACAAAGCTTAAATGACAATTAATGTATATTGTAGTCAATTATACGCATAGGCGAAATTGCGGGTCAGGCCAGTCAGGTCTGATCCAGTGGCGTAATTAGGAATTGGTTCTGTGGTGGGACATAAGTTTATATACTAACGTTATAGTGGAGGGCTATGCCCCCCTTTATTCAAAAAGTTTCATAGATCTCAATATTATATTAATTTATTATTACAAATTAAAGTACAAGGAATAGGTATGTATGATGTACTGTAGAAAAATAAAACAAATTTAGTAAATTAGTACCTTTTAAATCTAATGGATCAATGATTGATAATTTTTGTTTAAAATAAACACTTCAAAATGGTTAGAGCCCACGATACAACTTTTTAGAGTGTTCATGAAAAATCTAAAACACAGTCATAGTAATTTAATAAGATATACCTATTATAAAAACTAACATGTATAGTAAATACTATATTATAATGACGTGTTTCGAATTTTCCATTCATCTAAAACCCTAATAGCAAGTTGACCTATCATTACTGATTATCAATCACATCTAAGTAAATGAAAAATGTTCTCAACGACAAATATCGATAATACATTTTTCTCATCAATCTGTCTGTAGATATCAGCTATCAGAAGTCAGGTAACAACTGTCAAAGTGTCAAAACTCAAAACTCAATAGTCAATACTTAACGTTAACAGTGTCAACTTACAAAGTTACACTTAAGAGGACGTCGTATCCGCATATGTTGTCTTCGTCTTACAAATGCGTAACATGGCAAATAGTACTCTCAGAAGATCACGTTTAGCTCCTTCAGCTTGAAAATTAGAATGAATTGACCTCTTTTGAAATTTAAAAGTGAGATTATTATCTAGGGCATCTCATAGGCTTTTTATTATATTTTAATTTTAAAGCGAGTTATGTGTGTTTACTGCCGTGTACAACATTAATCCATATTCTATATCTAAACATACAGCACACCATACTATTACTACCACCATAAACTATTATGATAGCCAGTGTCACTAGATGATAAAAATAAATACCAATAATGACACGCGGACACACGGTATTAGAAAATAAGGCGCGCACGACACATCATAATATTCGATAACAGTAGAAAGCTGTTATCATTGAAAAAATCAGGCCAATGACCATTCTGATTTTAATATTTTATAATATATTCTAAATAAATTTCTAATTCTAGTATTCGCTCAACGCTCAACGTTGATCTTCAAAGTTCTAAGTTCTTACTCATAATTTGCAAATCGTAATACACAAAAAATGCTAGTTAATAGGGATTAAAATGTAATGTTAATTGTTATTAAATATTTTAAATTCCATAATTATCGTCCATTATAAATTACTTTCCAAGTAGTAGTAAATTATTTTTTTTAAATTCTACGAGTAATGCAAACTAAAATGGACAAAACCGAAGATTCATTTAATAACAATTACACTTCTTACGAGTACTCAAAAGAAGATGGGATAAGGGACAAGAAACACTATAACGGCTACCAAAACAAATCATCGCAATATGACGAAGTTATAGCTCAATTGTTTTCTAAGCAATTTTGCATACCAAATCAAAGCAAATGGAAACTTCCTAATCCAGACACCATGCTAAGTCAGTGTAAATGGGAGGTAATTTAAGACATTAAGTTTCATTTTTAACTTTTATATTGTTTATACATACATTAACTAAATATATATAAATAAATCAATGTTTAGCAAACTAATTATTATTTGATACTAACATTTCAATCAACATAAAAATTAAGATCATTATACATAATATATTTTATATTAATTTATTAGGTGCACAATGAATTTTTAACATATTGTAATTTATTAAAGTTTTAGACATTTAAAAATGATAAGAATGATTTAAATAATTTATATTTTTCACATATTGATTTAGTTTCAAAAGAATTATAAATTATTGTAATTACCTAATAAATAATAACAATTAAGTATTTTTATGTACTAGGAAAAATATAATCTAGACTGTTAAATGAATTATACAAGCAGTGTATTAATGGCAAAAAAAAACCAGTTCATAATTTTAGATTAGGCTTGTTATCCCCTAAGATGATAGAAAATTAAAATAATGATAGCATTATGGCATACTATAATTTGTAACTTTATTATTTTTTGACTTATATTATATTATTGTAAATGATTATCTAATATACCTGTGTTTTTAAAAGACACTACACAATTTCATGGTATTTGAATTCATATAATATTAAAAATAACATTTTAAATAACTACAAAAATATAAATAATTTATATTATAAGTTAAATTACTAAACCAACATAGTATACAAATCATAATTTATAAATATTAGTAAACCTAAAAATTTTCAAGGGTCAACACTCAACCTTAGATAGGTACTTTAAAAATATTCCTTGTAAATAATTATATCCAATTATTAATTAGTGTCAATTTGTAGTTTTATTTTGTGATACTGATGGTATTTTTTTTTAAATATATCTATTGTTAATGAATAGAAATTTTTATTAATATAGATGGACAGACTTTGTTAAAACAAAATTCTTTTTTTTTTTTTAATTTTAAACCCAATGTGTAATTCAGTTATATTATAAGTTAATCATATTATATTTTAAATTACATTTTCAACCAAAAATAAGCAATCAAAGTTGAAATTTTCAATTTTGTAGTGCATATAATCCTCTCCAAATCTTATTATTAAATATTTATTTTATCATTCTTAAAATAAGTATGTTGTAATAAAATATAATGTTTTGAATTTTATTATCAGATAATCTTAATTTGGGCTCCAAATGATAGATAGGTACTTATTCTTAAATAGACCAGATTAGATAAAAATAAAATACACAGGCATATTAAGTAGTGAAATTCCCAGTAATTATGAATTGCATAGTATCAGGCCCGAATTAACATTATCGTAGGCTCTAAATACAGATAAATAAAAAAGAATGCTACAAAATATTGTAGCCACACATTTTCGTAGGCCTAAAAATGTTTTTAGATCCTAGGCACAGTGTCTATAGTGCCTAATGGCTAATATGGCCTTGCATAGTACTGATGTTAATGCATTAAGATAAATTGATTTAATATTTTTTATTTACATTCAAGATTGTAATAATTAGGGTTTGGAAGTTATAAGAGCTAAAAGAGACAAAATATGCATGAAAAAATTTGAAATATGCAAAAACTTATTAAAAACTCACTATTTAAAAACATATAACAATGTTCTTATTTCTTATGTTTATTGATTATTAGTTATTGTTATTACTATTAAATATTAATTACTATTTTATTAATATGCACAAGAAAAAAAAAATTATATTATTGAAAAATTAAATAAGATTATTTAAAATACATAGTTTGAAAAAACTATTAAATATGCATGATATGCATATGAAAATAAAGAAATATGCTCTCTTTTTTTTAGAATCAATGAAATATGTATTTTTAATTTTCAGTTTTTAAACTCAATATTATGTAGCTCAGTTTTCTAGCTTGGTCTGCTATAAATCAATAGCATACTGAACAATATACAACTCCTATATTTTTTAAGTCCTAGTATTAATAATTATATAAATATATATATTTTGTTATAAATGTTATAATAGTTGTTTGATAGTTTAAAAGCTTATAAAATAATAATAACAATAATAATATGAGGTAATAATTAATAAAAAGTAAAAACTATTAAACTTAAGAGTACTTATTTAATTGTTATTCTAAATATACTAAATAAAATTTTATTATATTTTTTTTTAGTTACCAGATTTTATACGTTTAAAAAAATCACTTAATAAAGTTAAGGATAAACTTGATGATTTTAATTTAGCTGAATGGCATAAGAATACAAAACAAACAAATCCAGCTGGTAAAGTCTTACCTAAAGTTAAAGGAATTGGACATCCAGAGTTATTGACTGGGGCTTGGTTGAAGTTTTTTGAACTATTAAATGATTATAAACTAATACCTCAGAAAAGTATTGATAATGGTAAATTGTATAGTGTTCATTTATGTGAAGCTCCTGGTGGTTTTATTTCTGCTCTCAACCACTTTATTGTTAGCCAAGAAATAGATGTTGAAGTAAGTTACTTCAATAAGTTTTAATAATTATTTTATTTATTTTTTATTTTTTTTTGTCATCCAAGTGGGATTGGATAGGAGTTTCATTAAATCCATATCATGAAGGAAACGGTAATCCTGATTTAATAAATGATGATCGATTCATGTTATTTTCAATAAATCATTGGTTTTTTGGTAAGGATCATACTGGCGATATTTTCCAAAAATATTTCTACAAAGATTTATATGCCTTTATTAAAAATCGTTTTGGTGAAGAAGCAAACTTGGTAAATAAAACTTTTATTTGTCAGTTGTATTTATTATTTTAAATAATATTTTTATTTTTTTAATCTCCAGGTAACAGCTGATGGCAGTATGGACTGCCAAAATAATCCTGATGAACAAGAAAATGTAGTAATGCGACTTCATATAGTTGAAACTATGGTCGCCTTAATGATACTTCAAGAAGGTTGTATTAATATTAGACATATTTGTGAATTTTTAGTTTTGATAATGTTTTTGAAAAAAATATTTAGGTGGTACTTTTGTTCTAAAAATGTTCACTTTATTTGAATGCAATTCATTATGTCGAATATATTTGTTATGCTGTGCTTTTGATTCAGTACAAATAAAAAAACCAGTTACTAGTAAACAAGGAAATTCTGAAGTTTATATTATATGTTGTGGGTACAAGGGCTTACAACATGTGGAACCTTGGATTCATACATATTTTTCAACTATTGATCGTAGTATGTATTATTGAAAGCCATAAATATTGATTTTTTTCTACATGTGACTTATTTTATTATTTTAGCTGTGTCTGATAATTGTTTATTTCCATTAAAAGAATTGCCTAAAGATTTCTTATCTTCTATGTATAATTGCTCAAAATATTTTAGTGAACTACAAATGCAAGTTATTGAAAACAACATAGAACGATTTGTAAAAAAAAATGAAAATGACATTAAATATTTAACTGAGTTACAATATTGGGTTGCTAAAACATATGTTAATAGATATAAAGTAAAATCAATAGACCCATCTCAGGAAATAGTTGGACAAAATAAACTTCAGGTAAAAGTAAAAAATCAAATGATAAAATTTGTATTCTATTTACTTATTTTATAAATACTAAATTATTTTAAATTAAATAGAGTTTTCAGTATGATTTGCCAAAAGTTTCGTCTACAAAGTTAGTCATGGATTATTCATTTTCTGAGAAACAACGCAGGATAGAATGTCAAGCATTGGATGAAGCAAAGTTACTTCAATATGAAATAAACATGTTTAAACAATATCAATGGCAATATGATTCAACTGTTTTGTGGTTTACTGCAGAGGTTAATTTCATAATTTGATTTTATAGTAATATCATAGTAGTAAAATAGTAAAAATAATCAGTTTTTGATGAAATTATATTTATTTTGTATTCTTAACAAATGATTAGAATTGGTTAAATTTTTTATTTTTTCATACAGGATGCCAAAATTCAATCATCTGATTTTAATATACAAATGGGTAAACCTGTATCTGTGATACGTAACTCTAAGTTTTGTGTGAATACACTAATTGACTATAGTAATCGAGCAAGATCATTATTTACTATTCCTATTGAGGATAATATTAAGCGTAGAGAGTTAGTTTTAAATTCATTTTAATTTATGAGTAAAATTTTTATCAAACTTATAATTTTAATATGGAATATTTTTTATGTATTACAGTTATTTTTGGCTTCAAATTCCAAGACAAACTATTAATGGACAATTAATTGTTTGCGACCTAACATCAATATATATCAGCGATTGTATCAACAATAATAGAAAACAACATGATTCTTTGATTGCTATCTTAGAATCATTTGAAAAACTTCAAACTTCTGATAGTTTATTAGTAATTGGATATCCGTTGCTTACTCAAGTGAATGTTGGTGTTTTCTTTATGCTCCTTAATATGTTCCTAAAGGTATTTTAAATTTACCTTATAATAATTTTTAAAACTAAATATTTTAATTGCATTATTTTATATTTCATTTTAGACAGGTATAATGAAACCTGATGAAATGGGTCATGCTTTTGTGTTTTGCTCAAAAGTTAATGATAAACATGCAGACGAATTAATAACTCTTTTAAAGAAATTAAAAGAGTATATTAAAGATCCTAGTATCATAGATATAGTTGAAAAACAAGAACAATCTTTGATATCATTCTTTCCAATTAAGAAACTTATGTGTAAGTTATATTTTTTTATATTGTTAAATTATTAAACGTGTTCATAACTGAAATAACTTTAAAATATATATTTATGTTTCAGTTCAACCTATTTATAAAGATATTGTTACTGTTAATTGTTTGATTTTAATCAATGAAGTGAAAAAAACTGTCTGTTCTTACTTGCAACATTAATAAATAGTTTGTTATAAGAAGACAGTTAACTATTTATTTTTTCATTCATTGTTAATGTATTATTTTGTTAAAATATACTATATCCAATATTTGAATCATTAAAAATATAGATAAATTGTGATAATTATTATTAAAATGCTTACTATATAACATATTAATATTATTATAATGTTTCTTGCACATTTTATTTATTTATTTATTTATACCCAACTTATTTTATAAATATGTTTTAAAGTAAATTTGGAAAATAATATTAAAATACCATTATATACTTACAAATATATTTTTCTTATCTTTTGTAATGTACTAATCAAATTTAAATTGCCTATTGTGATTATGTTTGGAAAAGACTGATGATTGTAATATTTTAAGTCATTATTTAATTATAGCATAAACATATGTTTACAATAATTGAATATTATATATATATATATAAAAGCATAATATATATTAATATGATTCAAAAAAATAATTTTTTAACCATTTAAGAAATTATGAAATAAACCAAAGCAATTTAGTTGCATCCCATTCCAGTGTTGACTGTTTTTATATTAGGGGAAATTGTTTTTTATTCTAAATTTATTTTATATAATGTTATTTATATTTATAGAATATTGATATTAATAAACATAATAATTGTTGTAAATGTACCTAATATTATTAATGTTATTAAATTGATATTTTAAGATATTAAATATTTTTTTAATGTTTTTAATGCTGTGTCTTGTGTTTTATTTGATTATTTTATCAGTAACAGATTTTTCATTTTTGTTGTTTCCTTAAAAATATATATAAATGCAATTTTTAAATTTTTTGAATATAAGTGGTGTAATGAATGTTTTGAATTTGCAACAATATAAATTAATTATTATTTTTTTTTAGTAAAAAATGCTTTAATCATTAACTTTGATAGAAGCATAAGGTAACAAATGAATTTGGTACTTTTGACATATCAAAATCAAGAATTATCAAATTATTTATAATTGCAAAGGTTTTATTAAAAAAGGTTGACCATTTTAATTTTCTTAGTATATTTTCTATTAATTAATGACAGTAAAATATTTTTTGCTTTCTAAAAAAACTTTAATAATGAATACAAGATTCCTTATTAATTACTAATACTTGAAGTGAAATAAAAAAAATAAGCATAAATCCGCAATAATTTTTTTATGGGTGTTTGAAGATAAAATGTAGAAAAATCTATAAATTAAATTCTAATAGTATATAATATTGTATCAATAATATAATAAATGTAATGTTTTCAGCCAAAATCAAATTAACTTATCAAAATACTAGCATTTAAGTATATTAAATACTTATGATTTATGAACCTACATGATAGATAAAATCAGTTCAATAATTATTTTTTGTAAGCAAAGATTTATCATTGAATTTAAATTTAATTGTTTGTGGGTTTTTAATAGATTTTTAATGATAACTGCGAGACCCTAATTATAAAGTGCAATGTAGAATTTTATAATAAGTTAATTTTTACATTTGCATTGTTACAGATCTGATGTACCTATACATTTTACTGGTCTATAGTTATACAGTTGAGTGAACGTTTTTACATATACCTATTCTTTAGTTATCCTTATTTCTAATTCAAGGTTTGTAGATTTAATTAGATTATAGAAGTTACCTTGCTTTTGATTATTTGGAAAAACGGGAGTAGGAAAAATACAGCATTGATTTCACAGCCGGAATATTGTCGAATGTTGTGGTGTGTTATACTAATTATGTGTGCATTGCATTTTCTACAGCTTTGAGTATTCGTATCATATTAAGATTTTTTTATACACGAATACATTACATCATATCACCTATTACTTTAACACGTAAAATAATTTTATTATATAAATAATAACAATAAGTGCTAGAAGTAGTGGTTTTAACTTCTAATATTGTAGTATTGTAAAGTGCAATATAAATGCGGCAAAACAAAAAGAACTGGAATGACTGATATTTACAGTGTAATAAAATTGTAAAATTTCAAGTACCTACCTATTCATATTATTATAAAAACATAATATATTTAATGTTAAAATTGTGTCTATGAGCTATGAAACATATTGCAGTTTTAGTTAGGTACTTGATTACCTACTAAAGCCAGTTGTGTATCGATAATTTGATGGGGGGTGACCCTTCGTGAAGAAATGACTAAGTATTTCTATTGTAGAATGAAATTATTATTTTTTACTACCTCTTCTAATCCCCTCCCCCACAGGAAATAATCTTGCGTACGCCACCGACTAGAGCTAGGAAAGAAGTACACTGAAAACCTACTTTAAAGGCATTAAAAAGTTGCCAATTGGTAATGCTACAAAAAATGCATTTTATCCATGAAAATAATACTAAAAATTGACTTAGAAATAAAAAAATTTAGCTAAAAATAATTTTTAATATCGAAAAATAACTTATAAATGAACGCATTTTTATAAGTTCAAATTAATTAATTTTTAAAACACATAGGTAATATAACTTAGTATCTATATAAAACATTAAATTTAAAAAACAGTTTTATTACATTTTAAGTACCTATACCTGTTTATTATACAAATTAATATAAATACTTTATAACATACCTAATATGTATAATTTGCTTTATGTATCAAATGTTCTTTTATTTTTCGGAAATAAATATTGATAAGGCGATAACATTTCATTAGGTACGAAAACATGAAATATGTCTATAGTAATTTTACTTTAAATAAACAAATACTTACTTATTTTTTTACACGTTGAATATGCAAACCTATAATTATTAAAAACCAAATAAACAAAAAAAATTTAGGCACAAACTAAAAATTGACACAAAAATACCAAAATTGCTCTTATTTACAAAAGTCATAAGAAAATGTAAAAAAACACAAAAAGCTTTTTGAGTAATTTATAGACATTTTTAATTTTTCATAATTTTTTAGTTTTTTTTTTTTTTTATGTGGTAAAAATATTATACACTGGGTTCTTAATAACGTATAATTATATGATTCAATACAAATTGTTCTTCTATTTGTACAAAAGTATTAAAAATACATTTGCACAATTTGTTTTTATAAACATTTGAAGTTCAAATTTGAACAAAATCACGAATCTTCACAAATTTTTAAGTAGTTAAAAATTTATAAAATGTGTAATTTTCATAGTTAAGGTTTGAAAATTTATTACTAAGTTCTTCATAAATATTTCATACTGAAACTGAAAAGTTAAAATATATTTAAGAACAACTTTTTTTTAATAAATTTTGGTTTAATTTTGAACAACCTACATAATATGTACAGTTTAAATTATGAATAATAACAATATTTATTATTTAGTTAAAGCTAAAAAATATTATTTTGTATTATTTGTGGGAACATAAAACTTTCGCATATTTTATTATATTTTAGACGTAATGATATTTTCAAATTCATTGTTTTCAACAAAATTGATTCAATCTTCTGTACTGCTAAAGTGCTAAATACTAATAGTTGGGAAAATCAATTAATTCACTAACTAGCAATATCAAAAACGTATGTACCTACAAATTATTGGATATTAATTTATTATAAGATCATATCTAGTTTATATATATTATTTTAATCATAGATGTGGTGCATAAAGTACTTGGTTAATCAAATGAATAAATTATTATTCTTAATCAACTAATAATGTCTAATGTTTTGGAAATTACGTTTGTAGACAAGAAGTGGTACCAGGAGATTATTTTGTTTACACGACTTAGGTCTATGAGATAACCTGTAATATAATCTACTTATCTCGAAAAACGACTACATTAAATCCATGTATGTAATAAACTAATAACCTTTATGATTTAACTAGTGGTAACTAAGAGGAGAAAATCTGAAAACATATAATCATAATAGACATATTATGATCGACCACACTAAAAAAGTATGAATTATCCCTGACGCTGATGCACTAAGATGGATAGCACTAAAGACTATACAGTATTTTCTTCTGTGTTTCGTTTGTTTAAGATTTTCGTTATCAGTTTAACTTTTAACTCCTTCTAATTTAAAACAATGTAAAATTATGAATTTTTGTTATTACTATTTTGGCGTTCATTCACTGAAATATGAACTCACCGGTGTTTTCCGTCGCAAATGAAAACGTCGCGTATCATATCTGTCGTGTATACATATACTAGGTAATAGGTATATCGTAATTCCGATTTAAAGCAAAACATTTCAAATTCGATGGAAGATGCCATCGGAATATGCGATGGAAAACGTTGCGTTTTACCCCGGTTTAATGAAGTTATAATGATAATTGTTCATACTTTATTGAAATGAAAATAACGGCGCATCCAAGTTGGGTCCGAGCACTAGAGGCTAATCACAGGTAGTGTACTTGTGTACTAGTTGGGTCCCGGATTTTTATAGGTACTATACTAGTTCGATCCTGAATTATTTTAAGTATTACACTAGTTCTTGAATTTTTTTTTTAAGTACTACACTATACTAACATTTTTATTCTAATTTTAACATACTTAGGATAAGTCTGTTAAAAGCTATACTTAAAATATAGCCATATAAGTAAGTGAAAAAATATTAAAGATATTATGAAGAATTTTTAATATTTTTACCGACACAAAGATGATTTATTTTTTACAAAATTTTAATAATTTATATTTTTAATATTTTTCACTTACACCTATATGGCTAATTTATATTATATGAATTTTTATACTTGGTTTTTAACATTTTTAATATTTTCAAAAAAACATTTTTAACCATACCTGTGGTCTAAATAGATCATAGACAGTTCTAAGTCTGTTAAAATGGAAAGAAAAATGTTAGTATAGTACAGTGTACTTACCAAAAAATATTCAAGAACTAATGTTGTACCTAAAATAATTCAGGACCGTACTAGTGTAGTACCTATAAAAATTCGGGACCCAACTAGTGTAGCAATTTTAAATTTGGGACCCAACTTGGATGCAGCCGAAAATAAAACTTATGATATACTAATTACAGAAAATTATTACCAAATTAGTT